TAAGAACGAAGACCAGCGGCGTTGTATACGATAACAACATAGCAACGATATACATACTTACATATTATACGATAAGTTACATATGTACATAGAGACAGCAGATAGACGTATAGTTTCACGTGTGTACAAGTATACGATATAATATAAATGTTACATCCTTACGGGTTAGATCGTTAACTTAGATGCTTAGTCACGTTTAGTACGTATACAGTCGCTTCTCGAGATTGCGATAATATTCGTCGACGTGTGCCCTTCGTTCAGCAACTTTTCGTCCCTGTTGCTTTCGTATTCCCGTCACCCTTAGTCGCGTTATATCGCCGAAACGGTTGTCCCCTTAAGCCTAAGAAAACGTCACGCGACTTCTTTGTCGGCCGGCAATCGTCGATATCGATATGAATAACTGCTTATCTCACGACCGTTTACGTTGTCAGTGGTTTTGTTTTCATTTTTTTTTTTACATCGCACGTTTTCGTTACATCTAGATCCTGTCTCGCCACGTATAAAAACCTTACGAAAATAGTTGCTCTATCATAAAACCCCGCGGCTATTACGACGTACCACTTTTACAGCTTATAAAGGATCGAGTTTCTTATTCGAGCTGCTAAGCGCAGCGGCTACCGTGAAATCATCGGTTTCCTTCGTGTCTGGTCTTCGTTGATCGCTGGAAGACGAAGTGACGGTCATGATCGGTACTTTCGATTATGGTCTTCTCGGATTCGAACCGCTTCCATGGGAGAAATTGGAAAAAATCTTGAACGGAGGCTTTAAGATCGAAAGTATGAAGATAGAAGAGATTGGAATTTTGCAATTTCTGCTATTTAAAATTTTGGAATTGTGCAATTTCGAGATTTCAAATGTTGGAATTTTGGAATTTCGGATTCTACGAACTGCCGAATTACACAATTGCAGATTTTCGCAATTATTGAATATTGGAATTGTTGATTTTGGTATTTTGGAACTGCTAAATATGGAATTGCGGCATTTGGTAATCGTTGAATCTTGGATTTGTTGAATTTTGTTTTTGTGGAATTACGGAATTGCTGAATGGTTGAATTTTGGAATTGCTGAATTTAGGGTTTATGGAATTGTTAAATTTTGCTATCGCGAAATTCTGAAATTGCGGTATTGCTAAATTGCTGAAGCGTGAAATTGCCGAATTCTGGAACTGCGGAATTGTTGAAGTGTGGAATTTCCCACTGATGGAATTGCCGAATTCTGGAATTGCTGGATAAGGGAATTTCCGAATTGTGGAATTGTCGAATTGGGGAATTGCTGGATTAGGGAATTGTTGAATTATGGAATTGCCGAACCGAGGAATTGAAGAATTATGAAATTTGTGAGCGGTGGAATTGCGGAGTTGCGGAATTGTGGAATTGCAGGATAATGGAATTGCTGAATTGTGGAATTGCCGAACTGTGGAATTGCTATACTGCGGAATTGCTGAATTGTAGAATGACGGAATTGCAGAATAATGGAATTGCTGAATTGTAAAATTGCCGAACTGTGGAATTACTAAATTGCGGAATTGCGGAATTGCCGAATTGTGGAATGGCGGAATAGTTTGATTTTGGAATTGCGGAATCGTTGAATTGTCGAATTACGCAATAGTTGAATTTATGGAATTGTGAAATTTTTTGAGTTTTGGACTTGCAAAATTTTGTAATTTTGTAATTGCAAATGTTAGGAATTGTCGAATTCTGCATTTTTGGAATTCCAAAATTTTAGAATTGCAAAACTGTGCACTTTATAAATCTCGAAATTTCAGAATATTTGTATTAGCAAGTAATAATTTAACATGAAATTAAATTACTTTAAGATGCAAAGATATTACTTAAACAGCCATACAAAAACGATAACAAAAGTATGTTTCTTCAAGATTTTCACCATTTCCCACCAATCCAAAGTAGCGTCTAAATTGATTCAAATCTCGCGCTACGTTCCTGACATTAATCCCACACATTACCGCACCACAACCGTCATTCTCTTCGACTTCCAATCGCTTTTTTCAACTTCTTTTTCAGCCGGATCATTTGCGTGGGAAACGATCCACAGCCTCGAGGAAGAGTACTACGTGAATGCCCGATTAAAGTCTCGTAAAAGATCAATGAAATCCTCGTTAGAATCCGCTAGCGAGGGTAAAAGTCCCGAATTGTCTATTCTCAATCGACTGGTCGACAAGAAACTCCATCACGTCTCATTGTTCGATCGTTTCTTTTCGAAATGTTCCGTTTGTCGAACTTGATTCGAGACCCAGTTAACGAATGTGTGTAATTGTTCCACGATCGAAGAAATCGACCACTAAAAACATACGAACTCTGTAATCGAGTTTCTACTGCATACCGGATCAATCGATGAAATTGAATAGCAAAAAGGAAATAAAAAGGTGTTGAACATTCGTTAACTATAACGTGGTCTCGGAACTAGCTCGTAGCAGGAGTTGCAGTCCTGGAGCGTGAAAGATCGTTATTGTCGCCAGTGACCGCGTTAATTCGTCGCACACGTAATCGATTGAGAATAATTCGAGACAGAACGGTAAGTCGGTCACTTTCGCCTTTCGGGTCGGGTTGAGCGGTGATAGACACCTACGCTGATGGATTTAGTTTTCGGAATGGAAATATTCAACTTTCAGATTTTCGAGCTATCGGGTTGCAGAATATTTTCACTTCATCGTGTTTTCTGTACTTTTCTAATTTCCCAATTTGGTAGTTTCCCAGTTTCCCAATTTCCCAATTTCCCAATTTCCTAATTTTCTAATTTCCTAATTTTCTAATTTCTCAAATTTCCCACTTCCCAAATTTCCCATTTCTCAAATTTCCCATTACCCAAATTTCCCATTTCCCTAATTTCCAATTTCCCTAATTTCCCATTTCCCTAATTTCCCATTTCCCTAATTTCCCATTTCCC